AGAAGACAGCTTTCTCTATGTAATATCATCTCTTATAAATATGTGTTTGTACACACAAAAACACACACATAGATACACACAGAGCCTACATGTGTGTGGCAGGGAGAGGGGAAGGAAAGGAGCAATAGATGGAGAACACAGTTGAACAGCTGCCCAAAACGCCTAAAGGATTAGATTGCTCTCTTTTGATCCCTCTCTCACATCATGCACCAATGTTAAAATATCATTCTGTTGCATTGGTTGTGGTTTTATCTGAGAGTTCTTCTTGTTAGTGCTTGTTTTTTTCTTTTTCATCTGATCGAAAAAAGATTATCCCTGTATCTGAGAGGCTTAGCGTGGCTTGAAAGTGGCTGGAAAACATAAAAGGCCAATTCTAAATAAGTCACAAAAAAATGAAAACATGCAATTAGCATTTGTACCTATGACAACTGAAGTGGATAATGAGATTAAATGGAAGATTTCTTTCAATCTCCGTAATGCACATCATTCTTTGTATTTTTTTGCTTTTTAAAAACATTTTAAGGTCACAGTTAAATTGAACACGCAACCTGAATTGTCTTTACTGTATCGTTTTTCATTAAAGTTGTTTTCATACAAGATTTGCAAACCCACAAGCCTGTTTTATTTGAACCAGTCCGCAAACCCCAGGCTAAATCTACTCAATGACTCTTGTGCTTGCCTGTCCAACTATCCATCCATACATTTTCCCTTCTGTCGCAGGTCTGCTCGTGTCAAAGCGAGAAGCTCAAGCATCCTTCTTCAAAGATATCTCCCAGCTTGTCTTTAGGGACCCTGGAACAATCCCTCGGTGGAGGAGGGGATAAATACTCTTTTCAGTGTGTTCAAGGTGCCCATACTTGAACTGGAATCACCGGGCTCCTTCTAGAGCAACACCCCATGTGTTTTCTTGTTCTAGGAAAACCATTTGACCACAATCACAATCTTCTTCCTCTTGGTCTCTACCCAAAGCTGATGGCTATTGTTGAGAGCTGGAACACAGATTGACAACAAAGTGGCCCCATGTTGGCTTTGTTGGTAATGCTGAACTCTTCTGCCTTCGTATCAAAAGACTGAGTGCTGGAGATATTTCAGCTCATTCATTTCTTTATATGCTATATCAATTTCCCTGGAGACAGTGTTTCCTTAGATACTGTGTCCCTCACTGAAAGTGCTGCATATTTTGTTTTAAAATCTGGCAAATGTCACAAGTGAATTCTTAAACTTCCTCCAAAGCAAGGTACCGACCAGAGGTCATATTAGGCAATGTTAAATCATGACATGCTGCAGACCAGTATTAATTATCTTAACGTAAAATATGATGATAAACGTTCATCAACGACAAAGAAGAGGCAACGACCGGCAAAAAAACATCACAAATCCAAAAACTCAGCCCAATAAAGGAGTGTTTTTTATTAAGGACATCATGATGAGACACAATTAATCGAGGTGAGCGGTTTGACATTTAAAATCCATCACATTTTCCTCACCATGAACCTAAACCATCCTCAAGATGATAAATAAACCATTCCTGGAGCTGGCTGAGTCAGTTGAGGGGTGCGGTGTTCATTTTGTCACTTATCTGCAACAAGTGCACTTTAATCCTCTCTGCCTCCATACTTCTTCCTCATTTCTATACACTTTTCAGCTGTGCATTGATAAAGCTACCGAGGCCACATCAGTTCAATGTTTGCCTTTTTTTTTCCCACTTCTGCCTTTAACAGTTCTGTATCCAACTCTCATTTTTCCTGAGTTTGGAGACAAGTTGGAGAGTTAATTTAACGAGACAAGTCAAAGCGATGATAAACTATAAATCACTGGAGATGAAGATGCAGCTGAGAAAGCAGTGAACCGAGTGTCTGTCCAGGGGCATGTTTTGTTAAGGACATTAGAGGCTGAGCCCAGACCCCCCCCCCCCCCCCACACTCTCTCTACAAACAGAGGAAGAAGTTAAAGATATCGATAATGGATGTTTGATTTGGGGTATGAATCTTTCCTCCATCTTACCTTTGTAGATCAGCAGGGACAGCTCAGCAGCATTGCATTGTGGGAGAGTCTAAACTAAATCATCCAAGTGAGGCTACGTTCATACTGCAGGTTATGATGCACAATTTGGATTTTTTGTTAAATCCAATCTTTTTGTGCGGTCGTTCTATAGACTGTATAAAGAATGGACGCCGTCTGCCTCCTCACTGGGTGAAGCCACTCCAAGAACAGCACCCTCTGGTGACGGGCTGCAGTATAGGTCATAAATCCTGCCTCCACCAGCAAAGCTTATGGGGCTGTGGACAAACTTTAGAAATTTATTACACAGAACATACATTTTTCTGCCCCCTGTTTGTGATGTTGACTTGTAGTTACAGTAAGACTGGTTTGTGCTCAAGTCCTCTTTTTTTCTGTGAAGCTCCATTTTTAAAAGTTATTAGGGGGTTCATCACAGCGACTCTCGGCGACCGAATAAGCACATCGCTACTGCGCAGTGCTTGTTTCAGGAAATTAAATTAAATGACGGAAATACCAAGAGCTTTTTGGCTTCAAATCCGTATACAGGCGGAACCAAGTTGTCCATAGTATATACAGTCTATGGGTCGTTCACATTACAACAATGAATGCAGCATCTCATGTGAACAGAATGCCTCTGTGAAGTGACCTGCATGCACACAAAGCACAAATCGTTTTCCGCGCCTGTTTGTGTTGTTGAACAATGGTGACGTTTGTCGCATATTAATGACATGTAGGTCGGATGAACGCGACCTGAGCGTCCACACTGCAGTCACATTGGATACATGTCCGATTTATATCCACATACAAAAGAGGCCTGGGTCGGATTTGAAAAAAATCTGAATTGCACTGTTCACACTTATATGAAAAATCAGATATGTGTCACAAATGGTTAAAAAATCAGAAGTGACCTGCAGTGTGAACATAGCCTAAGGTAGTAAGGAATGCAGATATGACACAAGTTTAAATGTTGAGAGTAAAACAGATTTAAACTTTAACCTTGACACCGACTTCAGACTGATTGAACTGATATACAAACAGAAAACATTTGACCAAATGACGAAAAATTTAATGACATATTATTGACAACAACTAGACTTCAATGTTTGACTTTTTTTACACGAACTAGACTAAAACTATCTAGTGAAAAATGACGAAAATGTGACTGCCAAAACAAACATGTCATTTTAGGTCTCTGAGAATTCAAAGACTCCCATTTTGTCTTCTCTCAGAACTTACTGGCAGTGGAAAAATGGAGACATACTGAAACAAGAATCATTTTTTTGTAACTGGTTCTCGCTCTAAAAACAATAAAGTGGTTAAGGGGACATCCTTTTCTCTTTGCACAGTACTACTGCACTCAGAGCAGAGCTTGTGGCCATTCTTTCCTGGATACCCTATAAACGACAGAAAGCTGAAAGTGTGTGTTGTGTTGCCCATCATGAGCAGTACTTTGATGTCTTTCCCTCGATGTCAAAAGTACAAACCCGTTTAACTCAGAGCAGTGATCACCTTCCAACAAAGATGCACTTTTTTCCTATTTTTTTCTGTTTGTGATCTCCATGGACGGGGATGCAAAGTAGCTGCTGAGTTTCTGAGAGTATCTGATGGTTGTGTTAAAATGGCATCGCTGCAGATAATGTTGTCCATCTACTTTCATAAGACCAGGATCTCTGAAGTGATAGTGATTGTTATCTCCTTTTCCAGACCCCCCAAAGACCGGCAGATAGATTATTTGAGGGACTTAAAAATAGGCAAGGGTGAGGAATGCAATGACGGAAAGACAGAGACCAGGAGGAAAAAGATCTACATGGAGAGATAAAAAAAGGGAAGATTGAACATCAGGCCTTACACTGCTCTCAGTCATCAGCGGGGGCAAAAAATTACTCTGACATCCCTGAGCTAATGTCCTGCAGTCTCTTCCATCAGCAGCACCGAGATGTGCCTCTCCTGTCGACTCTATAAACCTTTCATGAAGAAGGAAAGGGAGAATGTGGTTAAGAGAAAATCGAGAGAGGGGAACTGCCAAAAAGGCCCGATAAATCAAATGTAGAGCAGAAGTGAAGGAGAGGCAAAAGAGACTTTGAAAATAAAGATAAAAGAAAGGTGAAGGAGGTTGAAATAAAAGAAGAACTCGAAGGAACAAAACCATCAATATTAGGGGATTGGACAAGCAGTGGATGAAAAGTAAAGGATGTAAAGGAAATCAAAGAAAGGAGAAGAGAACGAACTGAAAACCTGGGACATAGAGGGCAAAAAGACACTGAGCTGGGAGGTCACTGTTTGGCTGTACATATCTCTTATTGTGAAGCTAGCTACATCAACATTGTGGCACATGAGAGGCAAGTTGTCCATACTATATACAGTCTATGGTCTTAAAGGGACGTAAAATTAATTTAGGGTCAAACACAACCTAACGCCAAGTTAGACACCCCCTCAAGAGATGAATGTTGACGACCACTTGCTTCTCCAGTTATACCAACTTTAGTAATGACCGCAGATAGTAATACACAGCTGTCTAAGGAGCCATAAACAAACCTCAACCAAAACGCCACTCTATAGCCACAAATGATGCTCAGAACAGCACCTAACTTCATCAACAGTACATATTGGGTCCCAGCCACAGCACTAGCCACCAAACATCTTTTTAACTTTACCTGATTTCTTTAGCAAGGAGACTAAACACAACTCACCTACTCTCTTCCAGCAGCTGCTTGTTTGTATGGAGACCTAACTACAGCGGGGTGACGAAGCTCAAGGAAGAACATTTATGATCATTTCTTCATGGAAATGCAATCAGACTGAGACGCTGAGGCAGAAGAACTACCACGTCTGCAGTGCAAAATTATTAATATGGTGATTATTTCTTTAAGGAAATGATAAAGTAATAATCATAAATGCTCTTCCTTGAGAGCTCATACTAGCATCTGCTAACGCCTTAGCTCAATGTTAATGTTATTTGTGGTGTGTGGAAGGGTTGCTGTCCCTTCCATTGCTTTCAGACGGTGAAGAGTTGCCGTTGTGACTGCTGCACAGCAACATCTGTGTTCAGAGTGTTGAATCATCAGCAGCAGGGTGCAACTCTGCCCCTGGCTACCTCTGAGCCTATCGGCCTGTACATCATCGACTGCTGCGATCCACCAATTACAATCTCATTGCACAAGTGAGGAGGCAGTTTTTTTCTTTAAGAAAATAAAGGATTAAATTGCTGACAAGATGATGCATTTATGTTGCTTAGACTTATTACTAAATAGTTGAACTTGTGTTGCCGTTTTTCTTCAACGATCAGTCGACTTTTAAGGAAGAGTTGATTATTCAGAGAACAGAGATAAAGTGACCCTATTTATATTCCAATCTTTGTAGTCTCTGTTTTTTATGGCCACACAGAGAGGCGGCATCACATGAAAGCTGAAAAAGTTGAACCATCACAAACAAAAAATGTGGCAGGAAAAGTGTCGCAGCACCCTTATCTCCTCTTCATAGGTGCTGCTGCCAGAAAAGTCGTGAGAGCCCTTAGTGTACCACTTGGCCTTCCCAGATCTCTTTGTTTTTTGCATTTCGAAGAAAACTGTAAAAACAAGACAGAAAAAGTAGAACAATGCTGCACTTGCTCTTGTGCGACTCTGGCACTTGTCTTCTACTGTCATATTATACTGGGAAACCACAGCCTCCCCTAACAGGAGACTCAAATGATAGCAGGAGATATTTAACCTCTTGCTTGTTGGTGCCATGATTGGCTGTGTGTTGCCCTCCCTCCTTACTGTCCTTCTGGGAACTGGGAAGTGCTTTTACGGTTCCATCTGCATATGGATCTGTACACCACATCTACAAAGTCCTCTGATACAAATCTGTGCAGCTCTACCTGCCCATCTCCTGCATTTAGACTGAAGGTACAAAATGTGCCAGACTTGAAAACATACACAAAACAAGTCTCAGGGTCGTATGAACTACATGTTTTTGTTGTAATTTCAAGAACACAAAAGCATGTGTGTCATATTGTGATTCATCATTTGATTTGGACTCAATGTCACTCTTTGTTCAACATACTATTCACACCTTCTCCTCAAACTTTTTCACCATGATTCAACTTGGTTTATACAGCGGTGTTGTACCGGTTTAAATTGCATTGCAACTTATATTGTTGATGTTACTCTTTATGTAAATCAGACTGCTGGGTACAAACAGGACGGATGAGTAAAGAGGTTGCAGACGCCCGCAGTCAGCTTATAAATATGTAATGTAGTTCAAATTAAAAGTGTTCTCACTATGTGGCCGAGGCAGGCAGGCAGTTTCAAAGAGGTAAAGCTGCCTTTTTTTTTCTTCTCTAACCTCAGCCAACTCCATTTCCAGCTTCTTTACCAGTAAGGGGGGGGGAGGTCACCACAGTTTGGCTTCTGTTCATTATGTTTACCTAAGGAGACTATGATGGTGGTACTGTGCATGAAATAATAGATTAGACAGAGGGAGCTGTGCAAACACAGACTGGCGCCGTAGGTTTTCAGTTTTCTCAGTAAGGACCAGTTCTTCTCATAGAAAATGTGATGGTTTGTTGAATAGAGTTTTCTTCACGGTGACCTGGTCTTATAATAATTTACAGATGACTCACTCATATTTTGGAGTTTCAGATGACTGTCTTTCAAAAACATACTCTATGATTAATACATTACAGGAGCAGAGGATCATCAAATTGTCATTGCTTAATAGGGATGGGAATTGATGAGATTTTATCGATATCAATGCCATTATCGATTCTGATTATCGATTAAATTCTTTGACGATTCCCTTATCAATGCCTTTCTTTGATTTACCTATTTACTTTGGTCGGTATTAAATCAAATACATAATACGTTGTTAAGTCTGGCATGCATTGTGTTCATGTTAACACATACCTTCCATGCCATGCTGAGAAGGAGTAGCAGTGGCTGACGACCAGCGGAGAGCATCGAATACATGTGACTCCTTATATTTAATGCCGTGCCCTGTTGACAAATGTTTAAGCATGTTGGTGTTTCCACCTTTGCATGTTATCACTGCTCGACAAACCTTGCACGTCGCACTGTTGTCGTCTTTCTTGTTTAAATTAAGTCACGCTTGAGATCATTTCTGCCTATTTTTTGGTACTGTCTGCCATGTTTTTCTGCTCTGTCTATGTTCCCATTCGAGTAAACTGGCACTCGCGAGACCTTTTTTCAAGGCTAACGGAAGAGAGGACTCATTAAGGGAATTGTTAAGATGAATTGCAAATGATGTCAATGGATTGAACCATTTGAAACTGGTTCTCAACAACAACCAGCTCTCGATTCCTATCCCTAAGTAAGGTTGTAGTTGCAAGGGACAATGCAGCTACATTTCATCTTTTATATATATTTTTTTATCTTTATCAAACTTGGTGTCATGTTGTCTTGATAATATGAGAAAAACTTGTAATCATTTTGAAGGAAATTCTTAAATAGAAAACAGAAAAATTACAATCCATGTTTGTACAAGCAATTATTGTGCGAGTCCTTAACCCTGACGGTGTTTTTGTTATTTTGATTAGAAAGAAAAAAAAAAGTTTTGTGGATGGCCTCAAGATCAAAACTCCTGCACCTGAAAAGCAAACTGTTCCAGGGTCACTGATGAATCTGTTTAGAGGTTCTCTGAGTCATGAAGGTCAGCCCATGAAGGGTTTAAAAAGAAATAAAATAAATATGAGAAATAAATCTTTAAAATGAATATAAAATATAATCAGACATGATAAATTGCAAATACTTCTGATAAACTGATTCAGTTAGACACCTTAACATCAGTGTAGTCCTGAATACAAAGAAAGAGTACCAAGCGCACGCTGCATAGACTATAAATAAGAGGCATATCTCATCTGTTTCAATATTGTACAAAGCTCCCAGGCTCATAGCTCCCCAATACCTTCCAGAGAAGCAGCAAATAGATAAAAATGACACACCTTTTAAGTTCCCTATGGATAAATGCTTGGTTAAGTGTTCTCTCAACCAGTATATTGTTGGCTTGTAAAGAAGATTTGTTTGATATAGAAACCAATTTGTACTGTAAGTCCTCCTGGATTGGAAATAAGACGGGGTTGCCTACGCACTGTTATCAATTTATTTTGATCAAGTTACAGCTCTTGCCTGTTTTGAGGACACAGGGAAAGAAACAGCACTGCACACTTTCTCATGTTGTTCTCTGCTGAGGCCTGCCTGCAGCCTTTCTGTCACATCTGATAACATGATTTAAAGGACGCAGTTGCCAAAAAAAATGTTACTTTTTTTTTTTCTTGGCGTTTCTGGCAACAAACTTCTCCCTGTTTGTTTTATCCATCGGCAATTCCCCATTCCTCTGACCTGATGTTATATTTTTCAGTCGCAGTGCATCAGTGGAAAACCCTTGTGTTGCAGATTTATTTAGTGAAAAATGTTAATACTTATAAGACACAGTAAACACTACAGAGGATAAGGTTCAGATCTGTGGACTTGCAAACAGAATAAACTCAGAACTGGCTGCTATCCCACTTGTTTTTGTTTTTTACCATCAAAATTGACTGATAATGACGTGGGTTAGTAATGTGATAATCCCAGGGTTTGCCCCTCATGCAATTTATCCTGGTGCACCGCCACAGCTAAATAAAAACCTTACAAATGATTTTTTTTTCTTACATGGCTCTACCTCAGACTCATGTGTATTAGTATACATATGTGCAGCAGAGCGCACACGCGGCGAGACAGCATTAGCGAGTTATCATCGCCGATCACACAGCTGATTAATTAGTGAGTTATCATCGCTGATCACACAGCTGACTCCCCTTGAGTCGCTCAACACACACAGCACCCCAAATCACACACCACCACAGATAGAAACCTAACCTGTCCTGGGGGGAACACTGAATTTTGTTCAGCATACAGTGTCTTCAGTTATTATAGCCTGGGCTTTGCTCTCATTTTTCATCTCACTTTAGAGCAGGTGTAGGGTTTTCAAAGTTACTTCAGCCTTCATTTCTGTCTTTAAGATAGCACAAACAAAACCCTCCTTGTTATCCACTGGGGTATAAATTTCTTCAGGCTTCTTCTTAATCAACCTGTGGTAGATTGTAACATCAATTGATGAAGAACTTAGACACAGGGGACTTACTTAAACATACTTTCCATTATTGACCCCCCCCCCCCCCCCCCGCAACTTTGTCATCAGAGTTTTTAGCCATCTTACTTTGACACAACATGAAGTTCAGCCTTTCCTCTCATTCTCTTACAATCAGAGAAGTGTACTGCTTCTACTTTTCTTGCATCTACCTGAAAGTATAAATGCCACTGTTTTCTAGGGTGACTTGCCAAAAAAGAGGACACGACTACGCGGGGGCAGAGTCATGGAGTCACAGAGTTAATTTTGAGAGTTTTTCGGTTCAGATCGACTGTCTTTTATGCACTTTTAACTCAGTAAGTCCATGTGACACAAAATCAAAACTAACGTACAAAACCGCAGACATTTGAAGGATTTTATAAACTCCCCCAGACAAAGCTGGACAGGGCCGGACAGCCCCCCCAAAAAGAGGACATGTCCGGGTAAAAGAGGAAACATGGTCACCGTACTGTTTCCTGTCTTCGCTATTTAGGACCATAGTGTGCACAAGCATTCAAATGCTTTGTGCAAAAAGTGAGTAGCATGATAGATTATAAGTAAATATTGCTGCATTTAAATTGTGATTAAATTAGTTCAACAAAATAAATAGAAATTAAATGGTAACAAAATTGGGCCCTGAGAAACTAAACACATGCTTAACTAATAAACCAGCCAATGCTGCAGGAACTCCATCATTATTCTGTTACTGAGTAGAGTCGACTACATCAAGGCCAAGTTCATTGTAAAGCATTGGTCTGAAACTGCCTGTTAAAGGGACTGATTTGTGAAAGTGTAATGGCTTTGCATTGAACCACTTCAGTAAAACCAGATTTCACACATTAAATCTAAATAAAAAAAATGAGTGTTATTATTCATAGGATGCCACCAGATCTCTTCAACCCTTGTGTTATTTTCTGACGACTATGCCCCCTGAAACTGTGAAGATAACAGTCGAACACATCTACAACATCTTACAACACACAACCGCATGCACAGCAGGATCCTGTGTGGGTTGATGTGTGATGAAATATTGATAATTACTAATGCTTTTAATGGT